TGGATCGATTTGGGGTTGTGTTCAGGGCCAGTCCGAGACAAGTGGACTGTATAATCGTCGCCGGGACACTTACCAACAAGATGGCATTTGCCTTACGAAAAGTACGAAGGAGGAACGGAATTATTTTGATTTTAATAAAATAACGTATTTTTTAATAAAATAACGTATAAAGATCGTAAGCACGTTTTGAAGTTCACTGAAAAAGTAAAAGGATGCCATTTTTCAAACGAAACACGAAATATCGTAAAAATGTTTGTGAAGTGACAAAAGAAAAAGATCCAACTCAGTGCACTAGGAGAATTATAACTGTCCACATAATAATAATGCTGTGCGAGGCTGACGCAATGATTATAGTTCTGATGACTCTACGCTTATTCATTTTTAAGGTTAACAGAAAACGGAAAATCGAACAAAAATAAAGAGTACAGTTGTTACAGTCAAAATTTTTAAGGCTTTATCATGATATTTGCGAATTCGCTGAGGCCATTATGTAAATTTGTTTCTCTGCTGGGGACCTGATAGCAGATATCCGTGATAGATATCATGAGAGGTATTCATGCAGAGAAGGAGAGCCGCTTCTGACGATGCTGTTAGCTATGCGGACGTCGTCAGAAATCGTCTGATCGATGATATTGCGGCTTAAGTCCTTTTCATCCAGGGGCCACGTTTTCTCAAAAGCAGTCCAGGAAATGTCTTAAGATTTCCAAAAAAAGAATGCAGAAAAGTCAGAAAGACGACAGCGGTGTTTATGGTAAGACGTGTGCAAATGCAAATACCCTGATAGTATGAAGATTTTTAAGCCTAGTAGCGGAAAGAGGCCAGGAAATGTCTGTTACTGTAATTAACAGGTTGTAAATGCAAAGAGTTATGGTGTGGTGATCTGGTGGAAGTGAATGTCATATTTACTTGTAATTATACAGCCGTACATTCACTGTAAAGACGAGGAGCACACTGATGATGAAGATCAAGGTGTTTAATATTGTGATGAAAGCTGATATGTTTGTATGTATATATTATGCTGGATGTATGAGATCAGATATGTCATTTCTTAGGATATTTAGAATTTCCATTTTCCAGGTATACGATCAAATGCCTACTCCAAAGTGGGTGATCAGCATGGGAAGTTGCGCTAACGGTGGCGGGTACTACCATTACGCGTACAGCGTTGTGCGCGGTTGTGATCGAATCATCCCCGTCGATATTTACGTCCCAGGTGAGCTGCGATTTGTCGGTCTTGTTTGAGTTAACCCAGGAATTAATTAAGGATGTCCCCCCAGTGCTGAAGCCTTGCTTTACGCAGTTCTTCAGCTTCAGAAGAAAATCAAACGTTCGGCAAGACTGCAGATGTGGTACCGCAAATAAGCGTTAACAATATTTTTGAGCGTTTTATAGAAGTTCGTTGTTGTTTTGTTCATATCCGCCGTTGTGTATGATTCTGTAGAATCGGTCATTAAATGAATCATAAACAATACACGTGCTTTCATGTACTTGCCTAAGATTAGTTTCGCTGAAACATTGCATTGCCCTGTCAGTGTTTTATTTTCTTTATTTTCATAGACAATCTTGAATGCTTGGGGAGTTGCCTTCAGACGCCAAGATACTGGGTTATTCTTCCAGATAGTTTCATTACTATAAATGCTCTATTGCCCTTAAGTGTGGAATTCATCGCAGTAATACTAGATGAAGAAAATGAGTTTGAAATCAATGATCTGCCAACAGTTAACCTGCGTAATTATGTTGTACTGGGTGATGCCTTGTGGTGGCAAGGTACAACTCGAACCGCTGAGATTCCGAATTCGATTCTTGCAACTGCCTTTACCACGAATATCCTTGAGCAAGGAATTTACCACACGTTTTTTTAGACTAGGATTACTTTAACATTTTAGAACTTTTCTTCCTTTGTGTTGTGCTAATGCTGGTCGAGAATTATCGGGTGTAAACCGCAAAACTGGTATGATGAAGACTAAATTGATATATACGTTGTCGAGGGAGTTCAGACATGATATTTCATAAAGCGTCTGCCTTAGCTACTAGTATAGCGTTAAAGGTTTGTTTAAGATCATGCGTTTTATTTATTGCTTCTTGATGCTGCGGAAACAGCGAATTTTTCATGGCTGAGTAGACGAAGGTTTGAATTCTAAATATATCAGTCGGTCACTTTCGATGACCGCTTATTCTTTTGGATCACGGAGACAGACCCTGTTTCCAGTATTCCAGCGTTCGAATTTTGGCAAAGAAAACCCAAGTCTGGAGCATAGTCCTTCGAAACAGTTTTTCCGGTTTATTCCTGACCGTCCCTTGTTGTCTTCGACCGGTTGGGTAGCAAGCATTAGCTATATTTCCCATTTCTGAAAGCATTCGCAGTACGTGTCTAAATTTTTACAGTTGTGATTCTAAACGTATCATATATGTTTTATGTAGCATGCAGTATTTGTCACCAAATAATGCAAATGAGTCGGGATTTGGAGAGGACAGGAATTCGAAACAATAACCTTTTATTAAAAGCGAATATACACCGGTAAAAGCAACAGTTGTCAACAACAAGTTTTCTCTCTTATACCTTGTTTTACGTATCCGTTATCTTGTACATTTTCACAACACAGGCTTGTCCTTTTTACAACTGCGTATCCTTTGTTAATCTTCAATGACCGGCGTTAACCGGCTGGATGTCGATCACTTCAAGTCCAAGGTGCTGCTGATTGAACATCCAATCGTACCAGTCGTTACGCTGCCGGCAACTTCATTTCATGGCTAACGAGAGCGAGCACCTTTCGTCATTTCATATTCGTGATCGGTTTCCTCTCATTGTTTCTGTTGTTTTCGGGGTACATCCTCTTCTGGTGGTCTGTAAGGGGACAAGCCCACTTGGCTGTTTGCTTGAACTGTCTGAATCGTCTGTATTTTTTTGTGCGGCTATCCATCTGCGTCTGCCAGCCTACAGCCGGCCGTCGTTGACCGTTACAACAGGTCAGCCTGTTATTTTTTTGTCTCCAAAGATGCTTTATTTATTTAGTATCCGTTCGAAGGCGCACAATGAAAAGTACACTTACTCCAGTAGGTTTTAAGTTTTTTGAAATAAATTTACATACAAATATATTTGTGTATGTAACTAAGAGTAATGGCTACATACAATTAATGAGCTGTACCGAGGACGTTATTGGTAACCCGTGGGACGACCAAGCCGATATAATGTTCGATGACGGAAAAACCATGAGGTGTATGTAGTTGAATTTCACCGAGATTTCGCCACGGTCTCGGAACCTTCGCCTTTCTCACCAGGTCTTGAGACTGGCAGCGGCGAAATTTGGGACCGGCACCGTTCATTTCTCTTTTTCTTTAAGACGGATTTTCGATGTTTTCCTTGACATTCGCTGTCAGCAGCTACCTGATCTGTAATGCTTGAATGAACATGCGTTTGGCCTAGTTTGCCGGTCACTAGAAATCTGATAGTCGGCAAATGTCAGCTCGATACTCTCGCTACACGGTATCATATCTGATTGGTTTGGCGAAAAAAAACATCCTATGATTTGCATATATTTTGATTCTTCATTTTTTGCGACAGCGAGATTAGGATGTGAAATAAGAATAGAGAGAGGCTGTCTTCAGTTTAATACTTGCATGTCATTCACCAGGTGCAGATTCAAATCAGAAATCAGAGGTCGATTACGTTTAACTGCTGAGCTTCAAAGAAAGTCACTGAACATCAGACTTCACATTGGTGAAAAAAACTACTGTAAACAACCGAAGCATGAAGAATTTGAATCAAATAGTATTAATTAACACACGACAAATTTTAGCTCTCGCTGCAGAAGACGGGACTCCCGTTGAGGATTGAAAAGAGTGGAAAATATTTATGGAAAACGGAGCAAAAAACGATGAGGATTTTGAAGATAAAAATGGCGCTGAAGAAATTCCAGACATTTTGCCACT